AGAAAGCTAAGGAGTTAAACATCAAGAAACTCATAATTGAAGGGGATTCAGAGGTGGTGATAGGGTGGCTGACTAAAGATCAAAATGGTTTATTGAAGTACAACAATGAGAGGAGGAAATTCATGTGGCTGGKGCGGGAGATGGAAAGTTAAGACATGTTGGGTTAAAAGATCGGCTAATTCCCTAGCTGACGGTTTAGCTAAACAACGGGCAGAAAGGGATTCACTGTTTTGGGCTAAGCTGTAACTTTAGTGTCTTCTTTTCTCTTTTTCTTCTTTTTTCCTTTCATGAGTCTCTTTGTGGCTCTTGGAAGATAAGTGTGTTTGTCTTCTTGTAAATTTTCTATTGATGATTTAATGAAAGTGTTATTGATAAAAAAAAAGTATTAAAGGAAAGGAAAAGATTTTGTTTCTCAGTTTTTAGTGGTATTTACAAAGTATTAATAGAATCTCATATGTATTAGCTTATACTTATTTATATTCATTTTTCTATTTAGCATTGTTCGGTTCTTTTCCACTTTTACCTTCTCTTGAATGATAGGTGTTGGTCTATCATCACTGCTTTGATTCATGTCCTTTTGGTCCCTTCTCTTCAGAGCTTTCAACTTGCAGAGTGACATTCATTGTTGATTACATGGGAGTTTGATAGCATGCCAAGCTTCTTAAACCATATCTACTATGCAAAATTATCTGTATGGTTGTGTTGGCATTTCAGTTTGTGATCAGCCTGACTTGTTCATCCATGCCTAGTTCACTTTCTGAGCTCCACCAAGGATTTGCTTCTAGTTAGAAGTAAAATCTGATCTCTTTGTATTCCTTAAGTTATTAAGAAGCCATTTCTAGAGTTCCATTGTCTAGCTTTACCAAACACAGTAGGCTTTACTGCTTTGTGTTAAGAAGTGCAAAGCTTTATTCTACCCTTGTTTGAAAGATGTTCTCTCAGAATACACTGATAAAGAAAAGATTATGCCAGGATCCATTGAGCATTTATATTTAACACTTTTCAGCTAACTGCAGAATTCCCTTTTCTCTGTCACATTTTGTCAAAGATGTTCTCTCGCATTTCTTTGCAATCATGGTCTCTCTTTGATATTTTTGTTGACTTGACCATCTGTCCCGATTTTTTTTTAAATTTCTGTTAATCATATATTTTTTCCATTATTGATGTTTAATGTATTCTGGTAACAACCATTTTGTATGCAGAAGGGTCCCTGCCTCTCCCCTGGTCTATCAGGATGAGAATTGCACTTGGTGCTGCCAAGGGCCTTGCATTTCTTCATGAAGAAGCTGAAAGGCCTGTTATATATCGAGATTTTAAAACATCTAATATCCTGTTAGATGCGGTAGGTGACAAACTTGACACACTATGAACCATTACATTTTCCCCAATTTTAGTCCTTATCTGATGGGATGCTGGTCCAGGACTATAATGCAAAGCTCTCTGATTTTGGACTAGCCAAAGATGGTCCCGAGGGAGATAAGACTCATGTTTCTACTCGAGTGATGGGAACATATGGCTATGCAGCTCCAGAGTACGTGATGACAGGTCGGTATGATTCATCTTTTAATGGTTTCATATGAACAAATTGCACATTCTTCTTTTTTGGGTATATTTATGTTTTTTTTTTGTTGTTGTTTAACTGTCTTTCATGGATTTTCTGGCAATTTGCTTAGTAAAATGTTATTGTGACATAACACAGGCTTGGATGGTTTAAGAGTCTTTTGATGTGATGTGAGATCCTATAATGGTTTTCTGTTCCTCAAGTTCTCTGGTCCAATTGAAATTCTTGTTCCTTGATCCATCTTCATCTTCTGAATGCAACTCTGCACTTTTCTTTTGTTATTTTTTTTGGTAAATATCTCTGTGCATCTTTTATCCAACCTAACTTTACATTTCGTTGCCAGACATGTTTCTATATTGCATAATATCCATCTAGAATAGGGATTCAGTTTTTCAATGAATACATCCTTTTTGTTGTTGATAAAAAAAACTTGAGAGAAGCTATTAGATTCTCAAAAGAGAAAATAAAACATTGAGAGATCCACGCCCGAATTTTCTATGCCCCCAAAAAATAACCTTTTTTTGTGCAAGTGCTATTTGCAAAATTTATCTATAGTTATATTCTATTTAGACCTGAATGATTACTAAACAGGGCATCTCCATGACCCTCCATCTCTCTTTCTTATACAATCCATCTTTTGTTTCAGGGCATCTAACGTCAAAGAGTGATGTATACAGTTTTGGGGTGGTTTTACTAGAGATGCTGACTGGCCGAAGATCCATGGATAAAAACCGACCAAATGGGGAGCATAACTTGGTGGAATGGGCACGACCATATCTTGGTGAGAAGAAAAGGTTTTATCGGCTAATAATAGATCCTCGTCTTGAGGGCCATTTCTCAATCAAAGGTGCAGAGAAGGCTGCACAGCTGGCCCATCGTTGTCTTAGCCGGGACCCCAAAGCCAGACCTTTGATGAGTGAAGTTGTAGAAGCCCTGAAGCCTCTACAGAATCTGAGGGACATGGCTAGCTCCTCCTACTACTACCAGACAATGCTAGCAGAGAGAACTGGGTCCAACCTAACTAGAAATGGTCTTCGGACACAGGGAGGGTCTCTGTTGAGGAATGGGCAACCAACAAGGAGCCTTTCGATGCCAAATGGTTCGCATGCTTCTCCATACCACCACCATCACCACCAATCCCACCAGTCACCCAAACCCAATGGTAAACAGGCATGATGTTCAGTTTCTATGATTCTATATCCATATTTCATCCATTGCATCCCAACATCCTAGACTTCCTTTTTTTTTTTTTTTTAATTTACATTTCTTTCTTTCTTATGTATAAATACATGATCATCACGAGGTCATATCTAGTCTTGGAATACTGAACAGGCAGTGGGGATCTCTAAGCGGATGCAGTGTATTTTAATTTGTGACGAGAGTTGGTGGGCTGTGCCCTTTCTTCCATTAAGGAAATGGTCATCGGGAGGGGGAATGTGGAAGAGGGTTTTGGAGAGAATTGTAATGCCACCTTATGTTGCATTTAATTTGTTTGAAAATATCAAAATGGTAAGAGTATAGTTGATTGACCGGTGACCTGATGCTTATGATGCTTCTTTCTCTTCCATCTTTGTTAATAAATATGCCTTCAAAACATTTGATTGGATAGATAGAGCGATTGCCATGTGGAAAACTTACAGGTTAGATATTTTGAATTTTGCTTGGTGGGATTGCTCCGTCTGACTATATGGTATGAATACATACAGAATACTATTACAGCCGTAGCAACTTGAACCATCTCTCCATGCAAAGACGCTATAATACTATGTGGGTTGTCGCCAAAGTTGGGTTTGTCTTGAATTTCTCTACTGGGACCTTGTCATTATATTAAGAATGGTTCCGCACTCGAAATAACACCCTTGCTGTCTTGGTGCACCCATTTCTTTGTAAGCGACAATTTTGTTCAACAGGTTGAATGAATTGCGTACGGGCTTTCTCAAAAACAAGTATGGTCCTGTCCATAGTTGCTCGGGTCAAAGTTTCCGCTCAAATACAACCAAGCATGATCCAGTTTAGGTGGGGTTACTGAATGTGAAATTCTGAATGAAGGTTACATGCTTACATGGAGAGAAGGATACCTGCCATTGGATTAAGGCAGTGATGTGGAAACCATGTGCAGAATGATTCAACAAATGTGCAGTTGGATCTGCAGGGAAGTGCACGACAACACGACGAGGCATGTTATGCAGGCCTTTGGATCTGTTACAAATAAGATGTTTACAACAGACCATGAAACTCAATCAGAATTCAGTACTTAAAACTCCAGTTGCTGGTACGTCCGATGACAGTACACAATGCGCACCAATATAATGTTTACTTTGGATTGGGTTTCGTAGCCCCTGGTATGCCTTGTTTGTAGCAGAGCGGATGAAAAAAATAGTCCTCCAAAGTCCGAACCAACCCAAATTAAAGTTTATTCGGATCCCCTTCTGGTAACATATGCAAATAAGAGTGAATTAGAACCAGGTGGATCTGAATATCTGGTTATTCAAGTTCGACTCAACAGAAAACTAGTCTCGAGTTCAGGCCAATTTAGGCTATAAAGTATAAACATGAACTCGAATTTGGCTTGATTCAAAAGCTCATATGTTCGAGTTCAGCTCAGCTCGAGCTTTTGACAGTGAACCAAGCTTCATAAAATAATAAAAAATTTAACATATAAAAAATAAAAAATGTTATATATAATATAATATATAAGCTTGATTAGACTTGCAAGCTTCATAAATCGAGTTTCATTAAACTTGAACTCAGCTCAATTAGCAAATGAGTCTATATATTGGGTTCAAGCTCGATTCAAAGATTGGTTTAAGCTGAACCAAAACGAACTTTTCATAGGTCGAATTCAAATAACTCGTAAAAAAGCTCGGTTCATGTCCACACTATCTGCAAACACATGCTTTTTTGGATTTCCAAATAAAGAAAAGAGTAGCTTCCCATCTAGACTAGGTCATCCTTATTCTTTGAGGCCTTACCAGCTCTGCATTCAGAGTTTAGGCGACGTTGTAAACCCAGTAGGTGCAGACTGCAGTGTGAATTGAGATCATTAAATGGACAAGGGTAGTGCCTGCAGCATGGTTGTGATGGAAACAGATAAACATGACGCCCAAGTACTTCCTTTAAATCGCGATCAGGGTCGTAAATCGGAATCTCTTTTTATTTTATTTAAGTACCAACAATGGTAATACATGACGACTTATGGTTAAAGGCCCACTAGATCGACGCTTCCATGTAGATATATATAATCAACGTGGACATGGGCCCAGGTCGTCTCAGGAAGCTTTCCTGGTTAGTTGATCCTTGGATGTGCTCTCGAATATCTTGTCAGCATTTCCAACCTCAAAACCATCGCGTCTGTGGAACTCCTTTATCTGTGCATTTTTACAAAGATGAAAGTACTTAGCAACACCCTATAGAAAATAAACCAGAGAGCCTTTTTAAGCCCCAATAAAGATTCATACGTGGAATGGTGTAAGTTTTCTGGTTATGTTACATTCTTCCCTAAATGACCTGACAAAGTGGACCATGCCCAGAAAGGAACATCTAAACAAGAGAGCAGTTAGTGAATTTCAAAAAGCCATACACGTTCTATTTCTTTGGTAGTGAATCAGTAAACCACAACAGTTCATGAGGCCAAAAAGATACATAAACCAATAGACTTGCGTAATTACCGTAGAAAATTTGACTTCATGCTTTGCATCTTGGATTGAAAATCCATTATACATATAGGCTTAATCCACATTAAATATCCATTTTATAACCCTGCTGCAGACTTGCATGATATGAGATGGGTCTTAAATAAATCAAGAAAATCAGTATTGCCAATAGTTAACAAGGGGGAAGCTGAGAAAGTCCTAAGAAAATACCAAAGCTCTGATAACCAATATTTTATGGACTCCAAATGGATAAAATGCCCGTATTAGACATGCTTCTGATTCTCAAGCATTTCTAATCATTTTTTCCTTTTTTTCTCCTTGCTTTTTGATATAAATGAATATCTAGCATGCAGCATGCATTATGAATTTCATCTTTCCTATAAGATCCTTAGGGCATGCATATGGAGGAATTCATTATGTATATAAGAACTGGTTAAATTTAAAACAAGGAATCCATTGGGTATAGAAAAAACTGTTGGATTTAGGAAGACAACCGAGTTGAACTAGAACTGAGCATCAGAGATATCGTGTGTAGGAAATTCATTATATTATGGTTCAGCATCCTGCCCTTACTCCTAGGTGTTGATGTGATTAACACTACAAGTGCATCACTTATTCCACAAAAGCTAATAAGAAGCGTTCAGTTGTATTAATCATGAGGATACTCTGTATGCAGATTTAATGGGACAATCATTCACTTTTCACACCTTGCATTAAAATATAAGATTTAAATGAGCAAATAAGTAAAAACGGTACCTCTTTTTCAGGTAAGCTTTTATACCGAGGCAGCACAAGGCGTTCTGCAAACTCAATGTATGAACAGGGAACAGATTCGGTTATACCATCAGAGAAATTGAAAGATATTGAATCTGCAACTGTTGAGCTTTGCAACAGAAGTCCATCAGGGCTGACTGTTTACAACAGAAAGAAAGTCACCAATTGTTCACTCCCAAGGCCTTCTAATAGAACCCATTGAAAGTAATAAATAAAAAGTTGAAACAACAACAGCAATAACAATAATTGTTCCATGAGTGTTTTTTGCAACAAAAATTGGCACTTAAGTCAGGATAATAATTTATCTGAAAAGGAAAAAACTATGATGGCGTTTGATAAATCTGAAAATTCAGATCTGAAAAGTTGAAAAGATATTAAAAGTGTCTGAAATCTGAAAAGAGGCATAGATGCTTTTCTACTTTTTAGAGGATCTGAATCCATAAGTTTGTTTGTGTTGGATCAACCCTTTACCATCTAAAATTTACTGATTTTACTATTTTACCCTTAAAACATATTATTTGGAAATGTTGAATTCAATTTGCATTATCTCATAAAAAATAATTTTCAACCTCAAAAAACTATTGAAACAATACAAATAAAAAATAATAAATTAATAATTACTAATTAATAAATGAAACGATTAAAATTAAAAAAATAATTAATGACTATAAAAGTATTAAAATAATTAATAATTTACACAAAAATTAAAATAGTTTTTAAAAATTAATGAAATAATTAAAAATTACTAGTTAATAAGAATAATTAATAACTAATAAATAACACAAGTAAATTTAATAAAAAATAATTAATGTTTAATAAAAAATATTAAAATAATTAATAAAAATAATTTACAATTAATAATTAATAAAAATGTTATTATTATTCACCGAACAATGGCGGTGGTGGGAAGACAGGAGAGAGAGAGTTGCAGCAGCGGTGGTGGTGGTGGGAAGACGGGAGGGGGAGAAAGAGAGTCGCCGCTGCAACTTGCAGCCGCGGTGGCGGTGGTTGGAAGACAGGGGAGGGAGAGAGAGAGCGAGAGTGAGAAGACAGGGGGAGAGAGAGAGCTGCAGCTTGCAGCGGCGGTGGCGAGAAGACAGGGCAGGGGGGAGAGAGAGAGAGAGAGAGAGAGAGAGGTCAAATGTTTAGGTTTTCTGGGTTTGGGGTTATCAGGGGTAACTCGCGCCATTTCCAAAATATTGTAGACTATGCACAGGCTCTGAAACACGTCTGAGCGCGTTAAGAGCCGGCCCAAGGTCTATTATTTTCAGATCTGAAAATAAGATTCAGACCAATTTTAAGAGGTAAAGCCAAACAAGGGGTGAGGTCTGAAAAGTAGCATTTTCAGATTCAGACCTCTGAAAAGTGCAATCAAACGATCCCTATGACAAGCAACTGACAAGAACATCAACATATACACCAAGAGCAAACCAAATGCAAGTATTAGATTTTTTTTCTTAATTATCATTCATTAAAAAAAAAACTTATCAGATTTATCTTATACAAGAATGTTACTAATGTAGCTGGCCAAAAAACAGTTGCTGGAATAAACTATAAATTTTCTGCTTCCCTTCAAGCCATGAAAGTATTCTCCCAGTGCCAGAAGATGATATGCCAAAGGAGCAAAAGTATGATATCATCAATTTTAGTGCATGTTGCAGTCATATGTGATAGCCTTAGCACTTGATGAATTAGGAAGTTTATTTTGAAGACTTATAGGACCATCATTGGGTAATGACCTTATTTTGAAAAATTAGTAGAATTTTGAAGCCCTACATATTTCATTTTTTGTCAAATCACTTGTAAAATAAGAAAAATTCATACCATTTTTTGTATTTAAAAGAAAAAGAATTCCATTCCAGTTTCCTTACTTAAGTGCTGCAGGAACATACACAGGAATCAGAAACCAACATTTATCTGGGAGTCTGGCTCAGCAGGATGGAAAAATATGTGCTTACGGTCATATCTGAAGAAATATATGTTATTAAACTAGTCCATATAATTGAAGTCTAATGTCATGTAGAAAATGATCTAAAAATTTGTTCTAATTACTTATTATTGTTCTATAGGAACTGTTAATTTATATCAAATAAATAAAGAGAAAAAGGAAAACATTACACTGAAGGAAAACTTAATAAACTTTAGTTCTATATTATCTAGAGAAAGAAAGAAGGAAAACTTAATAAACTTGAATTTGTCAGTACAAGAATATTGATAAGCAACCTTTAAGAACTCCTCCTTCAGAGTTCAATTTGAATCCATTCTCTTCAATGAATTGATTGAGGCTTTTTATATTCCTCAGGTGAGATCTCAGACGATGAGTAGAAATAGTGACATGGTTCACTGCATATCCATTAACAAGAGTCCATGCAGCATATTCACTTTCCCTGTCAATTCACAAACCAAATAGTAAGGCTCCAGGGCAGAAGTTTGTAAAGTTGTATCTGAAGCAAAGTATGTTGCATCTAATTTACCCATGACACAATAAAGACAGAACCTGTCAATTAGCTGAACAAAATTCTTAATCATTTCATAGAAATTAAATATTTGATAATAATACCAAGTTCTGAGATAATGGCATGTATACCCTGTCCAGTAGGAAAGAATAATACACTCGCTCAAAGGAACCACAAAAAACACTGGAACTTTAAAGAATAAGTACCTGGCTAATTGTTGGAAGTCAGAATATAAGGGTTTTTCCCATGTTAATGATCCTAAAGCACTTGCAAGAGCTGCATACTTATTTCCATTACCAGATGTTTTGGTATATCTTTTTATTATTTCCTGTGAATATGAAGCAAAGCCTTATCATACTCAGAATAAAGAAAATAAGAAAAATTATTCTAAATCCAAAATGCCAGGTGACAAAATTGAGTATTATCAGATTAATCCAAGTCTACTGGACTAAAAAAAGATGGAATTTGTATAACCTATTCATCCAATTCCCTGTTGTGTCAGATATTTCAGTGAGGTCACTGACTTCGGAGTAAATGGCAATAATAAAGGTAATTCATGGTTAGATTATTCTTGGAAGCTCCATAAAGTTAAATTTTAAGCAGACTTTGGTCACATCATGTTATGTATCCTTCTTTAAGAACGATGAAGTTGGGTCTAAACACACGTAGTCCATTTCAAAAGAACTACCAAAAAACTGCATATGAGCCACAGAAACTAAGGGGCTACACTCCAACACAAATGTTCTTTTTCTTGTTTCTACTAGATACCACATAGAGAAACAAAAAGGAAACAAGAGAAAATACATATTCTCCAACATGAATGTCTGTTCTTGTTTCTAATATACGCCACATAAGAAAAAACAAAAAATAGAAAAAGAAAAATATATGTTTCATCTAAGAAAAAATAACCTTGTTTCTAAAATAAATAAAAAGATGCTTTAAAAAACAAAAAATATATTTTCACTTCCATGAGGCACATATGGCCTACCATTTGGTGGGTGGTAACACACCAAAATCTCCTATGCATCCGCTCACAAGTGCTGGTTTAAAGCTTATACGGACCATACCAACCCACATTTAAATGGAGTTGGGCCCAAAGAAAAAAAAGGAAAAAGTATGAGTTAATAACCATTTAATTAAATCTCTATCTGAATATAACTTTATTGGTTTATATAAAGAAAGTGGTAAAATACAGAGTGTGCCAAGCACCCATCTTTAGTTTTAGGCTAGCATCAGCTGCTTAAACTATAAGCAATACTTCAGTTGCATAACTGCCCCCCCCCCAATAGCATTCTTCTATTAATCCCTTGTAAGAGCATGGGCATCTGACCCAGCATAGACCCAGTTCAATCCAAAATCAAACTGCCCCCCCAGTCTGATCTAGGGCACATGTTAGCAAACCGAGCCAGCTGCTTATGCTAACTAAGCAAAATTGGAAATTGTAGAAGATTCTTTAATTAGAGAAAGAAAAGAAAAATATAAATAAGGGAACCCATTTCCGAAAGGGGGCCCCCACATCTCTCTCTCTCTCCCTCCTGAATTTTCTGGTCACCAACACTCGCTCATTCACTCACCAACCCCCCCCCCCCCTAGAATCTTCCACCAAAGGACCTCTATAATCAAGCATTTTTTCCAATCTCAACCCTTGTGAGACAGCCAATATCCTGCATTCACAGAATTTCCATGGCCAATAGGAGTTGAGAACATAGCCACTAAATATCCTTGTCTATTTCTAAGACCTGATCGGTTTACCTACAGTACAGTTGTCAAAGTTCAGCTTGGTTAGACAAGGGGCTGATGATCTCCAATAAAGGATAACATTTGTCTTTAACATTTTTATAGATTTTATCCAGTGAACCACCCTTACCACAAAGTTTTCAATAGCAGCTTCTCTTGTGTGGACCTTTGCCTTAAATATTCTGGCATTTCTATCTTTCCAAATGTACCATAACCAAGCTACCTTTGCTCACCACCACATCACTTTCTCTCTCCTCCTAGAAGATGAAAATAACTCAAAGAAAAGATTCTCCAAATTTTCTGGAGAATCTGCTTGTACATGGATGATGTGAAACCTTTTCTTTCAGGTTGGAGAAATACCCCCTAAATTTCCACTGTAAAAGTTTATTGCATTCATTATATTTCAATACAAAATTATAACCATCTCAACAGACTGTACCTGAGCTTGCAGACTCATCTCATCTACAAGAAGTTCTGATATGAAAATTCTTGGTAAAGGCCCATTAACACCAGTCCCGCTATCAGAAGATGAGGTAGTGGGAGGGGCAAACCACAATGCTTTCAGTTTTTTTGCAGGAAATCTCAATTCTTCGCGTTGTGTATAACCAAAATCAAGGAAAAATCTTGCCATTGAATCAATTCCATAGTCATGAACCTACCATGTTATAAATGAAAAATATAAGTAATTCCATTGGGATGTAGGAAATGGTTCAAGAAAATTTGCATTTTCCTAGGAGAGTGTACTAAAGTTGACAAAATTTCTTAGAGTGTGTATCTTTGTAATAGAACGGGAAATGGCAAACATAAGTAATTCCATTGTTGAAAGCTAAGAAATTAAACTAAATGTGAAAAAAATAGCAACAGAAATATACCCCAAAAGTTCGAAACGCTAGATGATCATAACAGATCTGATCATCACCAAATGAGCGAACAAGCTCCAAAATGGCATTTGCAGTGGGATTCCTACTTAAATACACCCTTTCCATACTTGCCAGCACGCTCCTAAAGAAAGATTCAGCACCCTAAAATAAAGGTAGCATTAGCTTTAGTGGTAATAGTGCATACTAACTACCCACTAATCGAGAAAAATAAATATTCACAAGCTTGATAGTTATGTGATACAACAGGCACAACAAATTTCTATGAATTGAACAATGAATTAAACATTTAGAAGAACCCGAAATGATATTCAGAGAAAAAGAGTAAGAGATAGAAAATAGAAGGTTTTAGGAAAAAGGCAAGAGAGGTATTTTATAATGAACAGCAGAATACAGAAACAAAAGAAAAAAAAAAAAGTCTTTTTTCTTTTCTTTCTCTTTTTTCCCTGATCAGAACAGCATCAAATGCATTTCGAGCAATAACACATGTTGAAGTATCAAGTGATAGCTGTATCCTTCCACTGGAAGATCATTATTACACAGTAGGCTCCATTTGCTTAGGCAAGAGCTTCGATTAGGGGATGAGTGATTTCCACTAGCCCAATGGGCATGAAAGGACCATAACTGATCCTCGTGCAGAAGCTCATACCTCTGAAATCAAAATAATAATAAAACCGAAAAAGAATCAAGGTGCATAATGGTCCTCTCTATATGAAATAAGAACAGAAATGATCGGTCTAGTAATTTTGAATGGAGATGCACCTGAAGAGTCGAACCCTGAAATCCATCTGTTTTTGAACCAGAAACCATGCAGAGATCTCGTCTTCTGTTACAAATCGAACTGCCGGGAAATTTTGTCTTTGAGTGTACTAAATTTCTTGATTTGGTGTCGTAGAGAGACGACGAAGAGGATAGTAAATTCAAAGAGGGTAGCGAAGGAGACCTACTTTTCATATACGAGCATAAGGAAATCATAGAGGAAACCCGGGTAGCCTCCATCGATCTGATTGTTCAGAAATCCACTCTCTCTCTCTGGTCTGCTCCAAAGCTCGTGAAGCAGCCAAGCAGGTGGTTTAAGGAAACAAATACAAATGAAACTATGAAAGTAGTAGTTGGGGTCGTTGTCGAATACATCTAAGCTTTCTTTTATTGATTATTTTGCGAATCTCAATATGTCAGAATGCCTGTCCTCTTTTACCAAAAAGAAAAAAGAATGCCGGTTAGATCTGCTGAGAACAAAGGGCTGGATACAACTTGACACAAGAAACTAAAGCCGCACATCGAGAATATCTCACCATTAATTACAACATAGAAAGTACGAGAGATATTCTCAATGTCCTCCGTTCTATGGTTCTACTCGTAAGAGTAGTGACTGGGACGGTGGGACCGATCACGACAGCTCCGAGCGTTTGGCAACGACTTCCATGCTCTGAGTAGTGAGTATGCATTTGACATTTGTCATTAGCCGATCGATGGTGTGGGGCAAAGATGTTTGTTGGCAGAAAATCTCAACTCCGCTAATTCACCTGTAATTCCTGTCGTACGGAGCAGATAGCAATAACGCTAGTTCCGTAGCGTGGAAATTTATCTTTTCTAGTTGGCTTTCGTATCAAATTGAAATTTGTTGGTTCTTATGTCAGTCATACTCGACCTTATCCATTTCCTGGGCGGGGAACAATGACGTGGCATGTCTGGAGCAAAATGCGAGCTTAGTCCACATCTCCACCCCACAACGCCCTACAGCACATTATTGCCGTGTATTAGAAACATCTCCGATAATGGTATCAGAATCGATGATATCATCGAAAGATATTCTCCATACACAGCGGGGATATGCTGTGGGGCGGAGATATGAATTCAAATGAAGCAGTGACATAACGGAGGATGAGGATGCATCTTTTGATGGGTACCATCTAGGAAATTAGATTCAAATGCGCCAAATCAGTAGTACACATGAATTCGCATGGGCATCTCAAAGCTCATCCCAGCCGTGTATGAGAACATCTATCTCATTATCTAAATTCCACTTGGAGCCTTCTTTTATTTTTAAGGGGTTTTTATTGTCCATTCTCTCTCTCTCTCATAAATCTTTATGCTTTCATTCAGTTAGGAACGGTGCTAGGGGGATGGTGGTGTGTGTTAAGCGGAGGCATGGTTTTAAAAAATGACCTGAAAATGGAGTCGTTTTCGTCATCGGCTTTCGAGTTGATGGTTTGACTGTTCGATTCGAACGAATGGTCTATTTTGACAACAAAAATTAAAAAAAATAAAAATAAAAAACGGTCAAAAACTATTGAACAGGTTAACAGTTCACTCATGGTTTTCAAAATTGGACGGGCCAGACGGTCGGACTAGAAAAACCGAGAACCAATCAGGTGACCAGTTTCGGTTTTCCCCAAAACCGAAAAGTTGCCCAAAACTATTGATTTTGGTCAGCAAACTGTTGACCCGGTAACCGGACCTTTGACCGATTCAATCTCTAGGTCGTTTTTAAAAACCATGGTTCGACCACTTTGGTCAACGGGTTGTTGACCGATAACAGAACCAGTTATCTGCACGGTTCCTAGGCCAAACAATCTAACCATCTGGATCAATAGTGCTTTAAAAACTATGTGTGGAGGTATGAACAATACATTTGAAAACCAATATAAGTTAGGAACAATGTCAAATGTATCAAAACAATACATTTGATATTAGGTCTCAGTTTGGAAGGAGTATAAATACAAACATTTGTATTTGTATTCTTTCCAAGTGTACTTCTAAAGTTCTCATAAAGTAATAAGCGATCAATAACTGAAGACCTTACCAACCAACTGGTTGACACTTTGCAATGGTATTTATTTTATTAGCTGCAATGATCCATCCTACCAACTTAAATTTTTAATTTACATAATTTATTAGGTTGGAGGTACTTGGTGGGTCCTATATATTAGAATCTTCTCCTCATGGTTCAATAGTAGTGTGTAGGGTTGAAATAAATTATTAAATAAATGTTTATCCCAATGAGTGTTTGGTGAGATGCTTTTTAAGTGCTTTTGTTAGTGTTTATTTTTTAATAAGTGTTGGATTTTAATCTCATAAGAGATTAAATCCAATGGGTTTGATTGGTCAATTACATGAGAAATTGCACTTGCACACTTGGTTGAAAAATCAGTTTTTCTCTTACAAAATCCAGTTTTGAACTTGTCCCACATTGGAAAATTATAAATTTTGTTTTCAGTTTTTCAATAGGAGCTGATTTACACTCCTTAGAATTAGTAGAGGAGAGTATGGGGATTCGATACCACGCAAAGCGCGCATGTGTGCGACGCAATGAGGCGCTTTAGAGGCGCACTTTGCGCGCACCCGCGTGGCTCGCAATAGACGACTTTGGTTTTGGTGCGTTGATCACCGTTGATGAGATCAACGGTCACGATTCGATCGGGTGTGATCAAGAGGCACAATTCAAAGTTAACAGTCACTAACTGTTAACTGTTTAATCAAGGTGCCTTCTCTAAATCAACACCTACCTTTTCTTCATACTTCTTTACAAATTATTTAAGGAGCATAAATCAGACTCCAAAACATACAATTTTGAAATTCACTCTCTCTCTCTCTCTCTCTCAGTCCGGTCTGCTACAGTCTCACAGAAGGTTTCTCTAGAGACTCTTCAACTTTGCTGGTTGCAGATTCTCGCCCAAGGCTCTGTTGTATCCTGCGAACGAATTTGCCTGTAACCCAATAGCAAACTCAGTAAAACTGAGTGGGGGCAAATAACGTTCTAAAGACAGTGTTTTCAGACGCGCCTCAGAGCTTCTCCTCCAAAGTTACAGTGACCCCATCTTCCCCAACAATTTTAGAACGTTATTTTGCAATGGAGGCAGAAGCAAGCATGACTTTGATCAAGATGATGAACCAAAATCTTGTTTGACTAGACCAGTTCAATGGAGCAAATTTCAGCCGATGGCAAGACAAGATGATCTTCTTTCTGACCACACTGAAGCTATACTATCTGCTGGACCCGAATCTGCAATCACTTCCTGAACCCACTGACAAAGACTTAGAGAAACTAAAGAAGGAAAGAGCAAAACAAGAAGAGGACTCACTTCTGTGCCGAGGACACATACTGAATGCTTTATCATACCAGCTCTACAACTTCTACAGGGAACTTACATCTCCAAAAGAAATCTGGAAGGCCTTGGAATTCAAATACAAGGTACAAGAAGCAGGTACGAATAAGTATCTTATTGCAGAATACTTTGACTTCACCATGAACGACCATAAACCCATACTGGAGCAAGTTCATGAACTACAGGTGATAGTCAACAAAATTTGATCCCTTAACATCATCCTTCCTGAATCTTTCCAAGTGGGAGCAATCATTGCCAAACTTCCACCCTCTTGGAAGGATTACAGAAAGAAGCTTCTGCACAAGGCTGAAGAACTTACCTTGGAGCAAATTCAACAACACCTTCGTATTGAAGAAGAGTCACGAATTAGAGACAGTAGGGATAAGACCCTGACCGATATGCTGAACTCTAAGGTCAATTTTGTGGAAAACGGATCGAAGAAGACTAACCCTGCATTACAAGTAAAGAAGAAGGATGGGAACTTCAAGAAAAGCAACAATAAGAAAGGATCCTGCTATGTTTGTGGAAAGAAGGGGCATTATGCCCGAGTCTGCTGACATCGGAAAGGCGGAACCAAGTCTGCAAACATGGTAGAAGACAATCTCGTGGCCATGATTACTGAAGTCAACATGGCAGAATCATCTTCTGGATGGTGGTTTGATTC